CACCATTTGTACCCGCTGCTCCTGGCATGGTGCCCAGGTCTCTTTAAGTACGGGGAAAAGTAAGGAAAAGAATCCAGTATCTTAAGCTCAGCCCTTCTGTCACTCAAACTTGCTTTTTATTTGTGAAAATATCATGTCGCTTGTTCATGTAAACAAGATCCCTGAGAGGATACCAGCATCCTGGGAGTAGCGGTTATCTGGAGAGCTCTGGCACTCAGAGTCAGAAAGAGGGAGACCTGCTTGTCACCGTATCCCCTTCGGTTGTGCTTCTGAGAACGTACCATGGGCATGCACACTTCTCAAAAGTTTATCTCAGGAGATCACCCACCCCCCAGTTAAACGAAAACCAAAACAGCATGTTGGACACATCTGTGAAAATCAGATAAAGAGGAAATATTAATGGTTACTAAAAATAGGAAAACGTGATTGCACTCACCAAGAAATGCACATTAAAATAATGAGATCTTTTCACCTAGATGAGATCTTTTCACCTAGATGCAGAGAGGTAAGGATAATACCCCATGTTGGTGAGGCTGTGGGACAGGAGCGTTCTCACTTTTGGTGTCAGAATAAACTAGTAAGACTGTTCTGGCACGGGTTTATTTCCAAACTGAAATGTGGCCAATTAAAAATAATTTTGGGGCGTCTGGATGGCTCAGTTAAGTGTTAGACTCTAGGTTTCAGCTCAGGTCATGACCTTGTGGTTTTGTGGGTTCAAGCCCCACTGTCAGTAATGAAGCCTACTTGGAATTCTCTCTCCCTTCCCCTCCCCCACTTGCACTGTCTCTTTTTCTCTCAAAATAAATAAACTTAAAAGATAATTTTATCCAATATTCAAGCAATTTTCCCTAAAGAAATAATACGGAGGCAGCTGGATGCCTCAGTCGGTTGAGTATCCAACTCTTGATTTTGGCTCCGGTCATGATCCCAGGGTCATGGGATGGAGACCCGTGTCTGGCTCTGCACTGAGCATGGAGCCTGCTTGGGATCATCTCTCTTTCTCTCTCTGCCCCTCTCTCTCTTAAAAAAAAAGTAATACAATAAAGAAAAGAATAATAATCTGAAATGTGTGCACGTTTCTGTACAAAGTTGTTAGTTGCAATACTAATACTGTTTATAACCTTATTGTGTGGGTATTGCTGGCGAAACCCAATCTCTGGCCCCTGCAATCCCCTTCCCCAACCTTAGTCCATCTACTGACAGACTAGTGAGTAGGGCCCGAGGTACGTACTATCACCCAGGATTGGTATAAGGGAGTAGTACCCAACTTTGTTCCTCAATGGGCCAGATGAGAACCTGGGGACCAGAGGGGAGACGTGAAAATTTACATGCCTTGATTTCTGGAGAGATCTTGACCTTGGAGATTCATAGAACAATGAGTATGTATTACTTCCAAAATTAGCAGAGTGATTAAGCCAGGGCTTGGAAGGGCAGAGCCAGCCCATGTGGATGGTAGCCCATGTGGATGCTCACTCTGGCCCAGAGAAGCCTGATTACCTCCCTGTCTCTAAGGCTGGGAGAGAGTTTTGGAGCAGAGGAGGCAGGAATTGAGGGTTTCCCTTCATGTGCTCCCTGGAGTACTGCCTCTGCTTGGCAGCTTGCATTGTGGCTAATCTGCAGGAATAGAGATTGCTGGCTCTCCTCAAGGGGTAGTACCTCTAGAAATCTCTCGGCTAGACCCATGGCCAGGGCTGTAAAGAGCCATGAGGAGGCAAGAGGAAAATAATAGTACACCCGAAGAGGCCTTGCAGCCCGAGGGAGGAGGAACAGACCAGATTCTCAGAATAGGCAGCTCCTGGTGAAACAGAAGCAGAAGAGACAGATAACCACGCTACCCAAATCACTGAGCCAAGAGAGAAGGAGCTGACCTTAATTGATTAAACCAACTAGGGACCATTTGGGGGGGTGGAATGTTTTTGTTAAGAGGACAACTATTTTGAATAATCCTTGTAGCAATACATAGTATCCTTGTCCTGAGAGTAAAAGAGATCCTGTGTTAGAAGCTTAACACAGTGCTTGGCAAATAGTAAGACTTGGGAAAATACTTATTTTCTCACTTGTGTTCAGAGAAAGTGTTTTTAGGGGCATCTGGGTGGCTCAGCTGGTTAAGCATCCAACTTTGGCTTAGGTTGTGATCTCATGGCTTGTGAGTTTGAGCCCTGCCTCAGGCTCTGTGCTCTCCAGCTCTGAGCCTGGAGCCTGAAGCCTGCTCCAGATTCTGTGTCTCCCTTTCTCTCTACCGACCCCCCTCATTCACCAACCATGAGATCATGACCTGAGTCAAAGTCGGGCGCTTAGCCGACTGAACCACCCAGACACCCTGACAGTTCATCTTAAAGTACTGTGCATAGAACCATAGACACAACAGAAAGTTTATTTCTGTCATGACACTGAGAATGCTTCTCAGACTGTAATGTACATACTAATCACCTAGGGATCCTGTTAAATGCAGGATTGGTTAAATGCAAATTCTGATTCAATCAGGGTGAGGCCTGAGGTTCTATATTTTTAACAAGTTCTCAGGTGATGGTACAGCTGCCGGCCCCCAGACCACACTTTGAATAGCAGGGATGAGGTAGGGTTTTGCTTCTCCTGTGTGACTGAAGGGGTTGACCGCTGCATCCATTTCCCATGGATGGGAACACAGGGAAAGGGGAGAGAGAAGAAGAGGAAAGTAAGCAATTTCCTATTTTTAACCCCAACTTTCTATTAAAAAAAAGATTCAAACGTTCTGAATATTTTTTTAAGCATTTTTAAAATGTTACTGATTTTTGAGAGAGAGAGAGAGAGAATGAATGGGGAAGGGCAGAGAGAGAGATGGAGACACAATCCGAATCAGGCTCCAGGCTCTGAGCTGTCAGTACAGAGCCAGAAGCAGGGCTGGAACTCACGAACCATGAGATCGTGACGTGAACCGAAGTTGGACACTTAACCAACTGAGCCACCCAGGGGCCCTATCAAACTTTTTGAATACTTGGAAGAATAAAGCAGCAAATACCTGTGTACCTGCCACTTAGCTTCACCAATTGTTAACATTTAAGCAATTTCCTTTTAAGGACATGACACAGAAGTTGCCTATGTCACTTTCACTCTTGTCCATTTAATAAGTTTGGCATATAGCCTCACCTTCCAACAAGGGAGGCTAAGAAATACAAGCCTACCTTGACAGCTGGCTGTAGGAGAAGAAAGTGATGTGGGACAAGAGGCAGTACACGGCAATTAGCCACCTTTGACACACTGACTTGCTAAATCTTATAATCAGTGGATCTTGAAGATGGATTCTGGGGGCACCTGGGGGGCTCAGTCGACTGGGCGTCCAACTTTGGCTCAGGTCCTGATCTTGCAGTTTGTGAGTTCGAGCCCCGCATTGAGCTGTCTGTGCTGACAGCTCAGAACCTGGAACCTGCTTCAGATTCTGTCTCTCTGCCCTACCCTTGTTCACTCTCTGTCTCTGTCTCAAAAATGGATGGGCATTAAAAAAAGAAAGTGGAGGGGCACCTGGGTGGCTCAGTCGGTTGAACATCCACCTCTTGATTTGGGCTCAGGTCGTGATGAGTCCCTGTCAGGCTCCGTTCTGTCGGCTTGGGTTTCTCTCTCTCTTTCTACTTCTCTCTGCCCCTCCCCTGCTCACGCTCACTTTCTCTCTCAAAATAAATAAACTTAAAAAAAAAAAAACCACCCAACCTGTAACTATGCAGAGCTGTAAAGAGTATTATGCTGATTTTCATTTTGTCCAAGAGTTATTTTCAGCTTTCTTAAAAACAAAACAAAAAACAGGACCTTACAGAAACTACAAAAAGGAAATATAGGGGTGCTTGGGTGGCTCAGTCAGTTGAGGCTCTGACTTTGGCGCAGGTCATGACCTTCCAATTTGTGGGTTTGAGCCCTGTAGTGGGCTCAGTGCTGACAGCTTAGAGGCTGAAACCTGCTTCGGATTCTCTGTCTCCAGCTCTATCTGCCCCTCCCCTGCTTATGTTCTGTCTCTCTCTCTTTCAAAGCTAAATTAACATTAAAAAAAAAAAAGGAAATATAAATACAGGTTGCTTTACATAAATCAAGATTCCACCAGCCACTACACATCATATGCCGACAACAACGGATTATTCCGTTGTTTTGTACTTCACTGCTATACTACTGGATCTATTTATACCAATTACCTTTAAAACTTTTAAAAATAACTTTTTCCTTTTCAAAATGCTGAAAGAATATGCTTTTAACTTTTCTAAGATTGTGTTATTTTTATTTAGACTTTTAATGTGTGATTACTTTTATCCACTTGGATATAAATTAAAAGGTGAATCGTCTTAGCCTTTGGATTTAAGCACATCCTACTTATTCCATCCTTTGGCTTTGGGGACCATTTTTATTTGAAGACAAAGAATAAATTCCTGCTTTAAAGTTACTGCAAAATTTTGCTCGGCATGGTTCCCTATTAACAAAACTTGAGTTCGATCTTGAGATATAGAGCCTCCTGTCCCTTCAGTGCGACCGACCCCTGCCCATTGGCACGGCGACAGTTCTCAACAACAGCCTTTGTGAAGAGACAGGCTGGCTGCAGGCCGTGTCGCCAGGCAGGGAGCTAAATGCCGGCCGGTAGGGTCCGGGCATCCATGCTTCCCTGGCTCGACGCGCCGCCAGGCGCCGGAAAAGCCCGAGCCTCAAGCCCAACCGAGGGGAGCGTTAGCCCAGGACTGCCGGGCAGAGAGCAATCCTAGTCTCCAGAGCTCGGGTGTGTGTGCGCGGGGTGCTCCGTCGGCCCCCAAAGGCCCGAGCAGGCCAGCTCCCACCAGAGTTGCGCCACGCCGGGGACGTCGGGGGCGCTCAGGTTGTAGCCAGCTTCGGCGGCGCCTGCGCCGGCGCCAGGCCTCACGGGAAGCCTGCCCGCTCCTAAGATGGCGGCGGCGGCTTCAGGCGTCGTCGTCATCGTCGTCGTCGTCGGGCGGTGGCGCCGCCACGTGGGCGCCGGTGGCCAATGGGCTTCCAGCCTGAGTCGCCGGCCCGGCGCGGGAGGCGGAAGTGCCTCGGGCCGCCGCCTCCGTCGCGGCTGCGGCCCCTGCCGGTTACATAACTCGTTGCGGGCTCCGCGCGGCCCCACTTTTAGGCTGCCTGCGATCCGAGGATGCGCTGAGCCCCACGACGGCGTCCGCGGCCGCCGGCTCCCGTCAGAGGTGAGGGCCCCAGGCTCGGGCCTCCGGTGAGAGCGCTGGGCCCCGCCAGAGGCAGGGGTCGTGAGGGAGGAGGAGGCAGCGCGCACGGGGTGGCGGGCGAGTTGGGGAGCCGGCCCGGGGAGGCGGGGGCCCCAGTCGGCCGCGGCGGGGCTTGGGACGGTCGCGGCGCACTCACGCCGCTGGGTGCCCAGGCGTCCCCTCGGGGTGCCGAGGGTCCCACGGGGCTCGCGCCGGCCCGGGATAAGGAGGGCCCGCAGGGTCCCTAGCGCGCTTCTTCGCATGCCCCCCAGCCCCATTTCCCTGGGCGCCTCCGGGCCAGGCCCCTAGACGAGTTGGGAGGGAAATTTGGGACCACGGGGCGGACTGCCTCTCCTTACCCGCCAGGTCTCCCTCCTGGTGAAGCGCCTGGGTTTTTCACGGTTCCGCGGTTTGCCGCCGCCTAGCCTGACCCTACTTTCGCTTTGGTACTTGTTGCACGGATTGTAGTTTTTTGCTGACTTGGTTGCCCTCTTTTCAACTCTCGGAAGCTTGGGGCTCTGTCTTCGTCGTCTCCCGACTCTTTTCGTCCTCAGCTTTGTCTTTTGTTTTTAAGACAAATCGATTTCTTCCGACCGGCACGCCAATCCTAGGACTGCTCTGACCTTCTCCACCACATCAGGCACTACTCAAGGAAGCGTGGGGGGCTGTAGCCCCTGTGATGTGGCCCCGTGGGGAAATCGTGAGGGAGGCTGTGGGCCTTCTTTGGACCACTGACCGCACGCACGTTATCTGTGTGCCCCGCAGGGGACCGAGCCCAGGGCCTGGAGTTACCCTGCAACAAACGTGGGCTTTGGCGGCTTCATTGATCTGTTTCATTCTGCCAAGTCCTGAGCCATAAGATTTTGTTAGTCATTTGTCCTGATGGAAGAGGATGACAGCCCCACACAGTAGCTCCCTGTGTTCCCTGGTGGCAGTTAATGGGAATGTCGGAACTGGAGAGAACATTGCAGGTTGCAGAAGTTTCACCAGAGAGCTGAAGGGGAAAATCTCTAGTTATAATGATGAACGGAGTGATCCAGGAAAGTTCTGGAATCCTGGGTCATCTACGGAAATACCACAATCCCTGTGGCATCTTGTGATGCAGAGAGAAGTGTGAGAAGTTACTTGTTTGGCCTGCGAGGCAGGAAGGAGTCTTGAGCAGCATTGAACTAAAAGGGGCTGGGGCAAAAACAAATTTTCTCAGGAAAATCTCTGAATTGCCTTAAGTTTAGAAGAGACGGGATTACACACTAGCGAAACTTAAGGGTTGCTGAAATATAAGTCCCAGCCATCTTTCCAGTTGGACAGATCCGTCATGGCCGAGCACAATGGTCTTCGCTTACCTTGTTTTAGGATTTGTACCCGTCAGAATCAGTGTGCAGATCGGCCTTTGAAAACGCAGCGTGCGTGAGCACCTTCTCCGTTGGTCTGTGCTTTGCTGCAATTCCATCTTCCTGAGCTTGCAGACACCCTAGGAGTCTATGCAGACAGTTCAAACCTGTACAAAACTAAATCTAAGCGTGGTGTAGTGTTGGCAGGCCAGAATAAAAAGTATAGACATGTTTTTTTTTAATTTTTATTTTTGGGAGGGAGCACATGAGTGGGGAGAGTGGTGGAGGGGGGGGGGAGAGAGAGAGAGAGAGAGAGAGAGAATGTGCTTTACATTCAGCACAGAATCTGACACAGGGTTTGATTGCTCAACCCTGGGATCATGACCTGAGCCGAAATCAAGAGTCAGACATTCAGCTGGCTGAGCCACCCAGGCGCCCCTAAAAAGTACTGACGTGTTTTTAAAAGGTCTGTGGGTAGCTTTTTCCTCTCCTGGTTGTTAAGTTGCAGTGACTTTGTCACCTGTTTATGTTAGTCAGACCCACTCACAGACTTCAGATTTGACCTGCAGTTGCTTAGCAACAGCATGCCTCCACCTGGGATGTAAGAAAATTCCTGGATGCTAAGAGATTTGAGAGATAAAAGATACTTACGAGGTGGTGCTGTCATTGCTGTCTGGGTACTCGGCCCTGAGACTGCCTGAGCCTCAGTGTACAATTAGCAGCATTTTGGTTCCTAGCGATCTGAGGTGTGTTTAAAGGGACACAGCACGCTTACACTGCAGCCGCCAGTGGTAGGACAGTGTAGAGTCCTCAGAGCTCTACATTTAGGGTGGCCCATGCCTTTCATTGCTGAAATAGTCCACAGGTCTCAGCTCTTGATGACGGCTCTCCTACCTGACTAGAAAGCTGGCTGCCTACCAGGCAGTGTCTTCTCTGAAGTGGTGGCTCCATGTTTACGTTTACCTGCATCATCTTCCCTCGACATCTGTTTCTGGAAGGAATCCATAAAGCCTTCATCATTTTTCCATCTCTTTCCTTTGTTTGCAGAAAGAGCTTGGGCTGTACACTCTGTGTCAAAGCTGGTCTTGCTTATGTCCATGCACGTTGCTTTCAAGTAAATGCCCACCTGCAAAATGATGCTGGACCTTTTTCTGGCTGAGTTCAAATGCTGATTTTTCCCCCCCAGCAAATATTCGTAAATGTCCTGGATAATGCCAGGAGCGGGCCTTCTTCCCTAAATCTCATTCTTTTTTTCTTTTTAATGTTTTTTAATGTTACTTATTTATTTCTGAGAGAGAGAGAGAGAGAGAGTGCGAGCGAGCAGGGGAGGGTCAGAGAGAGAGGGAGACACAGAATCCAAAGCAGGCTTCAGGCTTTGAGCTAGCTGTCAGCACAGAGCCCATCGCGGGGCTCGAACCCATGAACCATGAGATCATGACCTGAGCCGAAGTGGGTGCTTAACTGACTGAGCCACCCAGGCGTCCCTCTAAATCTCGTTCTTTATTAACGTGACCTTTGATAGGAGCTAGCTGACAGGCCAGTTCAGGATTAGCTGAAGCCCAGCTGTCTCACACGGCTGATTAAAGAGAGACTCATGCATTGGAAAACCCAGTGAGCATGTGGTAGGTTAGCATTCTGGTATGAACCTTAAAGCATTTGCTCAGTGCTTGTGGAATGATAGGAAGGAGGTGTGAACAGGGAGCCAGGGCTTTCTGCAGGAAGTGACGTGGGGGTCCAGGTCAACAGTCGAACCAGAGCCCACTGGAGCCTGGATGCCGGGGAGGCCAGGAGGCATGTAACAGTCACCCAAGGTGGCCACAGCACTGAGCTGAGATAGATGGTCAGGTAGAGAAGGAGCAACGGGGGGGGGGGGGGGGGCACTCCCTGGTTCTGTCCTGTCAGCATCTCAGACTCCTCATCTCTTCACGGGAGATGGACTCCCTGCACAGGGAGGGCCCATGTGGCAGGGAGGGGGCGAAGCCACCTATGACAGTGTAGAGATTTTTTTTTTTGTTTTTTTAATGTATTTCTGAGAGGGAGAGACAGCGTGAGCAGGAGAGGGACAAAGAGGGAGACACAGAATCCAAAGATAGGCTCTAGGCTCTGAGCTAGCTGTCAGCACAGAGCCCGACGTGGGGCTCGAACCCACGAACTGTGAAATCATGACTTGAGCCGAAGTTGGATGCTCAACCGACTGAGCCACCCGGGAGCCCCGACAGCATAGAGATTTTTAAATGTCTCTTCAGATTTTAAGAATGATTACCTATTTTGCCCAAAAATGGACTCTTAGTGCCAGCTTTTAACCTTGTGGCTTCAGAATACTGTGGCATTTTGTGTACTGATGCGAGAAGCAAACCTTGTAAACACAGATTCGCAGTCGTAAAGACGCAGAGGAGGTGGTTGTAGAAGGGGACACACTACAACGATCTGAGAAAGTCTTTGTTCCCGCTGCTTCCACAGGAAGACCACAGAAAGTATTTTGTCATCTGTAACAAAGCGTTTTAAAGAAAGAAATTCTACCAGTCTTATTTCTTGTTGAATAGTTACTCTTGTTAAAAATCAAATCCTGTTCTTCTTATTGTTTCCTGAATTCCTGAAATAAGATCTCTTTGGGCAGCAACGTATTGAAATTTGAGCCCGTCTTGAAAATAACTGAGAAGAAAGCAGTTTCATTATATAAAATAGCCTGTGGGTAATTGTCCTTTAGGTACTGAAAAGAATTGGGAACCGGGAAATGTTAGTGCAGCAGTACTTACATCTTCTCTGTTGTGTTCTTGGGAGGCTGTTGTATACTTATTTCAAACCTGTTTCTGTGTGGAACCACTTCTGACCCTCTTTGAACTCTTCACTAGGGCTTGCTGGTCAGAGAGCCCCTGCTCTTTCTATTCTTAGATTCAGATTACAGTACTTTGTTTCCCTTCTGGCCTCCCATTTTTAACACCTTCATTGAAGTGTGCCTGTAGAAAAGCATACTGCCTGATAAATGGTCATGACATAAATGTACCTGTTTACACACCACGCCGTAACACCCCTTGGTTCCTTACCAGCCAAGCCCTCTCCAAGGGTGGGGGGCGTGGGTTGGGGGCAGAATCATTGTCTTGTAGGAAACACCAGAAACGGTGAGGTACATAGGGGAATCATTTTCATTTTGTTTTAAGTAAGCCCCATGCCCAGTGTGGGACTCAAACTCATGACCCTGAGATCAAGAGCTGCACGCTCCACTGACTGAGCCAGCCAGGTGCCCTGGGAATTTTTTTTTTTAACCGTTTTAAAAATAGTCATCTAAAGGGGTGTCTGGGTGGCTCAGTCGGTTAAGTGTCCGACTTTGGCTTAGGTCATGATCTCACGGTTCATGGGTTCGAGCCCCGCGTCGGGCTCTGTGCTGATAGCTAGCTCAGAGCCTGGAGCCTGTTTCAGATTCTGTGTCTCCCTCTCTGTCTGACCCTCCCCTGCTCACGCTGTCCCTCTCTCTCTCAGAAATAAGTTAAAAAAAAAAATTTAAAGAAAAAACATAAAAAAATAGTCATCTAAAGCTTAAATTTTAAGTTGGAATTTATATCATCACTAAAGTAGTTTTTTTAAAAGTGACAGGCGCACCCTTTAAATATGTTTATAACTCTGTTTAACGTCCTCATCCACAACGACGTTCTCTGCTCTCTGACAGCTCTAATCTGCTG